CAGTTTGGGAACACTCTTATATAGGGCAAAAATACTGACAAGGCTGGCTATACACCAGCTATTGATTCTAGAAAAAAAAAATCTAAAGCAAGTTTTGAACCATCAGAAGAGGCCAAGTATAGCTATAACAGGTCACATCTAAGTACAATATAGTAGTTAATAGTTTGTTATAAACTTGCATATATAAAACTAGATGAAGTTTATCTTTGGTTAAGATACTATAGCTATAATAGTTATAACATTTATATAAAAACATTTAGTTTTTCTCTAAATAAAGCAGACCAGATTTCTTAAAAAATAAAATAAAATAAAATAAAATATTAAAAATACTTTAATTGGTAATTTGCTACTCAACTAAAGAGCTTATAGTATAACGTGATATGGTTTATATATAGAAATTAGAGTTTTTAGAATGTGAGCTGCTTTTATCTAAACCTTTTTTTATACTAAATTAATCATCTTTGAGCCTCTAATTGAAGTTGTAAAGCTTGTCAAGATGAATCTAATAGTAGTAGAATTGTCAAAATTAGCCTTGTGAATTACAAGATATCTTTAAAAAACATTTCACTGACTATATAAATTTCTTTTTCAACAATACTTCTGTTGAAAAAAAAGTTTATATAGTCAGATATCTTATAATCCACAAAGTCGATTTTGATGATTTAACTATTATTAGATTCATCTTGCAAGATTTATAATTTTAATTAGAGGCCCAAAGATAATTAACTTAGTATAAAAAAAATTTTAGATAGAAGCAGCTTATTTTTTATTATTTTTTTATATTTTTTAATGATTATTAGACAAAGTTAAAATAATTATACAGTATTTGGTATAGAATATATATAATATACCTTATAGCAAATCAATATCAATAAAAATTTTAATTAATATTAAAGTTAGATTATAGTTAAGATTAGAGTTAAATTAGAATAAAAGTTTACAGAGAATATTTTTTATTAATTATACAGTATAACAAAGATTATTTTAATAGTACCAAGTATAGAATACATCAAAATAATACTTTTTTTTTTTAATAATATTTTAAAAATAAATTTTTTAAATTATTTAATAAGCAAATTTGTTTGTTAAAATAATTTTTAAAAATTTTAAAATTTTTTTTTAATCTTATTTTTTTATTTATTAAATAAAATTAATTGATGATTCTTTAGTAAATTAAAAAATGTTTATAGTGTAATATAATGCAGTTTTATATATAAATTTCTATAAACAAAAATACTGCAATTGTATAAAAAAACTTTTTTTATACTATATAAGTGTTTTGCTAACTATATCAATTTAAAATTAAAATAATTAATATAATAAATGTTTTTTATTATATTATACGTAATTATTTAATAGTTAGTTAACAATGCAAGTTAAAAATTTATTAGCTTAACCTTTAGTTAAATTTTTAAAAAATAAAATTTTATTAATTTAAATTTTATTTAAATTTTTATAATAATTACTAAAGCTAAAATTAGTTATATTTAGATATATACATATTTATATATATATACCAAAAAATTATATACAGTATATACAGTATATCTATTTTATATATTTTTTTTTAAACATGTTACGTACGCATCTTAATATATACGTATTAATAGAATACGTATATATATATAGTATAGATAGTATAATTCTTGAACCAGACTAGTCAGATTGGACAAATTAATTAGGTAAGATCTGGTTCTAACTATAATATATTTGTAAAATATTTAAATATGATTTTCAGATCGATTCATATTTTCAACACCTGCAGCAATGTCTAGGTTAAGAAGAATTATTAAAATTAAATTGTATAACATTAACAGCAGTTTAAAATTTTATAAAAGCAAATCAAATTATTTAAAATTTATAACATTTTTTTTTTGATAAAAAAATATTTTTTAAATAAATAATATAATGTATTGTGTGTTAAAAATAACGAAAAAAATTGATAAACGATCGATTACATAGACAATTAATATTATTTGAAGTGCAAAAAAAATGACTATTCCTTATGCGGATCTTGATACCTTTTTTTGGAACCATTGGGAACGGTAACTGTATACGTATTATTTCATTTAATGCTGTAATTTAATACCTATATATCTTATTTGCATTAGTGCGCGAATCTCGGCCAATTCTAAAATTGGGATGTACAAGCTGCAGCACAAGCATTATCTGCAGATAAACATTTGAACAGAAGTCCATACACGTGACAAAAATAAAACGATCGCATGGTTCTGCGCCTCAAAACTAATGTATTGGACTATACTAAATACACCAAATACCAAAATATAACACACATTCGTAAATCATAAATTAACCGAAGTTACAATTGTAATCTTTCGCCAGAGGTTGTGTTCTCTATTAATTGGTGAGTGCATATGCGATTTTCGCCGATGTAACCCGTATATAGAGTGGTAGTACGTTGCTGTATGCGGGAGTAGTAGATTTGCATTCGTATTCTTTCGATGTGGTTGGTGATGTTGAATGAACGCAGCAGCGAATATATAATGAAATTAGGGATCTATAAAAATAAGGTCACTACCCTCAATTTTTAATATAATTGGTGAAATTTGATTTGTCTACCTATTCATTGATTGGTTCTTGACTATTTCTACAACCAACCACTTTCTGCAACTCCATATTAAGTTGGGTGAGTATTGTTTTTCTGTTGTTGTTTCGTGCATCCTGTGATTTACGCGTACAGTACTACAAAGAAAATTTTAAAGGTCAAAATTTTTTCCTTTCACTTACTTGCTCCGGTTTAACTCACTTTTTTCCCTTTCAAAAGAGTAAAAAAGAAAAAAATAGTGCGTACAGCTTTAAGCCTTGACTGGTCGTTTTATAAACGCTTATAATCATTTTTTCATCACAAACACGCTTTACATTCTTTTTTGTTCCTCCAACCTCAACTTTCTTAGCCTTTACCCCAAAATAAACTATTCTATATGACCATGAGAGAAATCGTTCATTTACAAACCGGCCAGTGTGGTAACCAAATAGGTGCCAAATTTTGGGAAGTTATTTCAGATGAACACGGTATCGATTACTCTGGCACTTATGTCGGAGACGCAGACCTCCAATTAGAAAGAATATCCGTTTATTATAATGAAGCCAATGGTGGAAAATACGTACCACCGCCGAGAGAGTGGGTTATTTGGAAACCTTGTAAGCAATCACAAG